ATTCAACAAATTTTTACATTGGCTGTTGATGGCCTAACACAACCCTCCTCCTTTACCCGGGCTTGGGACCGGCTATAAACATAGGCGGAGTTAATGATAAAATTCAATTAAAAATATTTTATATTTTTTAATAAAGAGAATATATAATAGGAGTTTATTATAATTTGTTCATGCATTATATAAACACGCAATTACACATAAAGTGATTGACTGATTGTTGCCTTCTAAAAGTAATAAAGTTGATATTGTGATTGTTATTATTATTATCATCATCATCACTAATAAACGATGGGATGGACAATGTAGTTGTTGATGTTTTAATAATTTAAAACTTGTTTTTTTTTTTGTAGTAACGTACAGTTAGGATGAAGGTGACACCGCGTCAACAGCCCCCAACTGCTTTTTGAAAGAGCACTAACTTAATGTTTTATTAAAAAAAAAAAATTCCACATGGAGTTCTATTACAAATATAATGTCAATTCAAATCCAATCACGAGCCTAAATCTTTCATTTTGCTTTGCATTTGCACCTAACTGATTTATATCGCTGTGAAGAATTATTGATCATGGTAGTTTGTCTCTGATCTGTTGTAAAAAGGAGCTTTACAACTGTCTCTTGTTGAAACATCGTTTAGCCCGACCTTTGATAACTTACATCAGTTTAGTGCTGTTTTGTTCAATGTTTCGTAGTATAAACCTTATTTTCTTTCCCCTTTTCCGTTTATAGTTCTTCTGACTTATGTTTTGTAAGTTGTTTTCACTTTCATTAATTGATATTTTTATGAAAAAACAGAATTCTACAAGTGGACAATGATAGCTCCAGAGTTTCATGTATGGGGGACAAAATTTCCAATTACATAAAATATAGGGATTAGAGACAATTTTATAATTTTTTTACAAAGAAAAATTTAAACTAAATACAAGAAAAGTAAAAAGTATGGGACACAAGTACACCACTCATGCCCCCCTGATCCATCTATGCAGCTACTGGATATTGTTATTAGCTTCTTTGGTTCTACATTGAAACTTGAAAAGAATAGGCTATTGAGGAAATAGTTTGGAAACATGGAATTTTTAAGGGCTGTTTGATTTCTGTTTCTATTTTTTTTAAAAAATATTTTATAATATAATTTTTAAAATTATTTTTTAAAACAAAACAAAATAAAAATTCATTTGATTATATTAATTTAAAAATAGTTTTGGAATTAAAAAAATAGACAGATAGTAATAGTTATAAGCACTTAATTGTAGTAATTTTTGATAGAAATTAATCAATTTAACTGTAATTTTTAATAATTAAATATAATATATTTTAAAAATAAGAAAAATAAAAAAAACTTGAGATTGTTTCTATTTTTTGTTTTAAAAAGAAAAAAAATTAGATTAATTAAATAAAAAACACTTATCTAAACAATTTTTTTTTTTTTTCATAAACAAAAAATAAACAGGCTCTTAGTCTTTGAAATTTATCTCAATTATTAATTTAATTTTCATTATTAAAAATGAGGTACCAACATTAAAATAAGTCAAAATGAATAACGGAATATCGAGTTGGCTAATATCTAAATAGATAAAAAGAAACCTATATATTTATTCAGGTAAGTAAGAAAAAAGAAAAGAGACTCCCAGTACATAATTCATCATTAATACACTTTTCCAAAATTTGACCTGATTTTTCGGTGCAGGACCATGAAATTTCACAAAGCAATCAAATCATGTTAAAACCTATAAGCGTTGTGCATCCTAAGGTGGATAATCGAATATCATAACATAGTAGTTGTTGCTAGATGCTCAGTGAACATGAGGGTCAGCATATTATTATTTTTTTTTAAGAAAAAACATGATCAAATAAAATTGTCCAATGTTTCATGACAAAATTTTTTGTTTTCTTGTTAGTCTTTCAAAAGGTGATGATTATATGAGAAATTATACTAGACAAGCAACATAGTTTTCATGAATTAAAATAGACATTGATTCTGGCAGATTAAGACCTTAAAAATTAAGAAAAATGATAATAAAATCTTTTTGAATTATATAAATGATAATATGACCTCTCAAAATACTATAATTTTATTAAAATTTTTAAAAACTTTTCTATCATTAATGAATTTATATAAATAATTAAATTATCGTTGAAAATAAAATAATTCATAAATTTTGTTTAAATAATTATAATTTTTCTTCTCATATTCACAAAAATATAATAACAAATTATAACTTCGTATGTTAAACTTCTGATTTACTGTTGTATCATTATGAATATAAAAAAAAAGTTGTGATTATTTAAACAAAACTTTTGAATCGTTTTATTTTTAAAAAAGATAATTTAATTACTTATATAAATTCATTAATAATAAAAAATATTTAAAAATTTTAATAAAATTATGACATTTTAAAGGATCAAATTATTATTTATTTATTTTAAAAAAATTATTATCATTTTTTTAAATTATCCAATAATCCTGGTGCCACTATGGTGATGGACTGATAGTTAAGATACTTGAAAAACGTCTTATCCGACTTCCTTTGTGATCGCAGAGTACAAGTCTCATTAGAAACTGATTTTAGGGGCCAGGCACTTATAAAAAAATTGTTAAAATTACTTGATTTTTTCTTGAAAAAAATGATAAAATTAATTTTAGCCCTCCACTATAATGTAATTTTGTATGCAAGCCTCCCGTTAACTTAGTTCTACATCCGTCCCTGTGTCTCGTTTGCCTTCCCAAATTTGACCCGTTTAGTCAGCAATACGATAGTGGAATCACCCGCTTCATTGTTCATTGTGGTTCGTTGGTCCTACAGTAGATCGTGACTGCTAGCATTTTACACATTTTCACATGTTGCGTTCGAAACCCGAAAGCATGAATCATTAGGTAAGTATAACTAGCAAAACACGATAAAGTCCCCTCTAAAGAAGGTTCCTCATGTTTCAAAACAAGAAAGTAAAATAAAATAATTATTCTGTTAAAAAAATAAAAAAATTGATTGTTACATTTTTGGATAGAAATTAACGGCGAGTCCGTAATAAAATAATTGAATGATAATTTTTAAAAACATTTGAAATAATTATAATTCATATAATTATTTCAAAATGTCAAAGTTATTTATTGAGATATTTAAGAAGTCATTATCAAATTTTAAGAAAGTTATTTCTAAAGTTTTCAAATACTACATGTTAAATGCTAACAATTTTCAAATGATTATATTTTATTTTAATCATTTTTCAATATTCAACTTAATATATCAGCATTTAAAAATATTTTGTTAGCATTTAAAAATATAATATCAATATTTTTAGGTGATGAAATTTACGATATTAGGATTATATCAGAAAAAATTATTTTATAAAATTAATAATTTAAATTAAAACTTTGTGAAATGTTAGATTACGAACCATAAACTTTGTCCAATATAATATAATAGACCCCATATTTTTTTTTCCTGTCCTTATTTCTTGACATGCTATAAGTCATTAGTCATTTGATGAAGTACTCCCTTTATTAAAAAGTATAATAAATTTTTAATTGACTTATACCTCTAATACATTAATCAATTGTCTTTAAATTGATCTCATATTTTTATGTTTGTCCTTGTTTAATAATAGAGCTATCAATTAGGATCAACTCGGCCTTTGAAGGGCCAAGGTTTAAATAAACTAACCTTAATAAGCCTCATTATATTTTAAAGCTCTATTTTGTAAGGCTTATCCTTGGCTCTTGAGGCTAAAGGGCAGGTCTTACAAGCATTTGTCGTGTTTTTTTAATTTAAAAATTTAAAAAATATATTTATAATCTTAAAAAATTTATTACATTTAAGATTAATTTTTAAAAAATAAATTTAAGTCAATTCACATCACAACAAATATGCAAAACTTAAAAATCTAAATTTAATATTAAATAACAATATCAAAATTAACACTAATAAATATTAGATTTTGCTATCATTATTAGCTAAATATTGATGAATGAACCAGAGAAGGAGGAATAAGTCTAGGGTTTTCATTTGTTTCAGTTAGATACTTAGTTTTTTTTTTTTTAATTAAACTTGAACTACCATTTTCTAATGGGGTGTCTAACTTAAAAGTAAGGTATTGATAATCAAATCAATAATTGAACCAGTCAAAGTATTAGTCAAAAATTAATGATTAAAATTATAGTCAAATTGTATCAAATTGCTCATTTTATTAAACTAGACAAAACATTGGTTTGACAATTCAACGAAATAAATTGACCTAAATTTCTATACTATGCTTAAAGATGAATGATTGATTAATTGCTTTATTTAGTGTACTTTAAAAAAATCCATTAATTTCACATTAAAAAAATATCTTACTCCTTTTTTTCATAAGTATAAGGTATTTTTAATTAAATTTCATCCTATAAAGTAGTTACTCATTTTTAAATTAATACCATCTTTTTCTATCCACCCTTATTTAATAGAGCATTTCACTTTAAAATAAATATAAAGTAATTTATTTATTAAAAATACTTTAAAAAAGGTAATGAATACATCATAAAATATTAAAAATGCTTTATATTTTTTAAGGGAGAATATTTTTTTTATATAGAAAATATCTTATATTTTCAAATGAATGTAGTATTAAATGCTTTCAACATTATTCTTATTTAAAATAAACCACAAAAGAAAATTTAATTAAAGTTTTTCATTTAAATGCGTACAAATAAAAAAATTTATTCCACTTTTAAATAAAGTTAATGACTTCATTTTTATAATTAGGATTGTCTCATAAGAGGGACATGACCGGGGGACTACCTTGCAACGAAAAGAAAATCCAATATATGTGTGTGTGTATATATATATATATTAATGAATAATGATGGTGATATTCATCGTCATAATGACAGTTTCATTTTTAATCCTCATAAAGCAACAATTAATTCCAAAATTTCTGCATCAAATACGCTTATCCACGTGTCGTCTTCCGATTCTCAACAAAACCTCATCTTTTCCCATACCTGCCGCACTCAATCACTCCCTCTGGTCCATATTTTCCTTCTTAAAACTCTCTGTAGTGCTGTTCCTCTTTTCGAAAGTTGTATCCCTCCCAGTTTCTCTTTGGTCCTCAGACACTCTCTCACTCTCAGATTCTCCCTCTAGAAACCGCCAATTGAAACGCACCTTCATTCAACACCAACAATGGCGTCTCTGCCATTCTCCCTTTCCTTCCTTCTCACCCTCTTGTTGTGTTCGACGGTGACGATGATGCTATTCTCACCCGCCGCTTCACTTACCTGCACGTCTCAGAAACTCACAAGCAACGAGATATACTCAAATTGTATAGATCTCCCTCTTCTCTCTTCATACCTCCATTGGACCTTCAATTCCACAAATTCCTCTCTCTCCATCGCCTTTGTCGCCGCTCCGGCGGATTCCGACGGGTGGGTCTCGTGGGCGATCAACCCCACCGGCGTCGGCATGGTGGGGGCTCAAGCTTTGATCGCCTTCAAGAACAACGGTGTTATGACCGTCAAGACCTATAAAATCAGCTCCTACCAATCTGTAGTACCTGGGAAGCTGTCGTTCGAGGTTTGGGACACGAAGGCAGAGGAATCGGGTGGGCATATGACGATCTTCGCGAAAATTAAGGTACCGGGAAAGAAAGATAGTTTGAACCAGGTGTGGCAAGTGGGGCCCTCCGTCACCAACGGTGTGCCGGATAGGCATGACCTTGCGACGGCGAATATGAAATCAAAAGGTACTCTGAGTTTGACCCGAGTTCAGAGTTCGACCGGAGGTGAGAGTTCCACTAGCGGTGGAGTAGACTCAACGACGAAGAAGAGGAATGTGAGTTTCAGTCTTTAATTAAAACTTAATTATTATATGAAAGGGATGTTTCTAGTTTTACTAATTTGGTCAATTATTAACGTTTTTTAAGTTGTGCTTATCTGATTCACTGGGATTTGATTTTGGATCTCTGAACTTAGAAGAATAGAGAAATGGCTGATTGTGATTAGAGTGTTTTGATTTCAGTGAAATTTGCTTATTAGAATTTTAACATAACCTTTGACTTTTTCTGGGTCTCCTTACTCCGGTAACTAGGTGATTGACCTATTTAAGATTATCACTTTTTAACTTAAATTGGATATAAAATGATGAATATCTCAACATATTAAGGTATAGTTGTCTATTGTGGGTGAATTAAGATTCATATTTCTGATTTCCACTCAAGTTTTTATTTTTCTTGTAAGATTTGTGCTTTGAAGTTGATACCTAGTTATTTTGAATTAACGATCTTTCACCAAATAATTGATTATTGTTTTTGGCAGATTCATGGAGTGCTAAATGCAGTGAGCTGGGGCATTCTATTTCCTCTTGGAGCAATCATAGCAAGGTATCTAAGAACCTTCCCATCTGCAGATCCAGCATGGTTCTATCTTCATGCTTTCTGCCAGGTTTCTGCTTATGCCATCGGAGTAGCTGGCTGGGCCACCGGTCTTAAGCTCGGAAGCGAATCCCAGGGCATCCAATATTCCGGCCATCGCAACATTGGCATTGCCGCCTTCTGTCTCGCTACAATACAGGTAAATCCTCAGTTCTCTACATCTTTTGTATCAGATTATTGACAAGCAGTGTCTTGGGTTTGAGATTTGTGTATGAAATGAAGAAAACTATGTTCTGAGAGCTTCATTCCCTGTTCTAGACCTAACAAGACTCAAATTGAGATTAGTCTGTAATATCGGTCTTACCAAAAACAAAAAACAAAAAAAAAAAATATTAGGAACTGCATCTAGGTCTAATTACTTAACTGATATGAAAGCAAAATTACTAGTTCTCTTGCATATAGGTTCAACCAGGTCTTTGTTTGACTTGTGACTTGGGAGAAAAGTTTGAATCTTAGTGCATGAACAGAACAATTTTTCGAGTGCTTAGTCAGTTCCCGAGTTGTTTAAGGAACTATAAATGGATGGAGCATAGTAATATGCTAATGTCAAAGGATGTAATGTAACAGTTACTGATGAATTCTTGCTGTTTGGATTCCCAGATTTTTGCATTGTTCGTACGACCACAGAAGGATCACAAGTATAGATATTACTGGAACATCTATCACCACAGCATTGGATACAGTGTGATTATCCTAGGAATCATTAACATATTCCGAGGATTCGACATCCTGAGACCCGAACAGAAATGGAAGACAACCTACGTTATAGTAATTGCTGCACTGGGAGGAATTGCCTTGTTCTTGGAAGTCATCACTTGGATTATTGTGTTGAGGAGAAAGTCTAACAAGTCTACAAAGCCCTATGATGCATACAACAATGGACAAAACCGGCAACAGCCCTTTGCCGCATGATTGAACCGGTCCGTTCTGGTCCAGTCCGGCGCTCCGGTTGGCCCTGTCATGTCAGCTTCTGATTTTGTAGTATTGAGATGTTATATGACTGCTTCTATTTGTTACATAGCTTGTGTTTTTTGTACCTTGCTTGGTTTGACTGAATAGAGATTCTTATTTAGTATATATGTACAGATTCTTCATTCTGTTTGCATGGTTCCATTGTTGTGTTTCTTTTCTGTTTGTTTTTTTTTTTTTAAATGTTCCATTCTTGCTTTTGATTCCTCTACAACGCACCCTAAACTTGTGATTTTTATGTAGAAGTGCATAGATAAATGACTGTTGATGATAAAAGATTCCCATAATGTGAAGCTAAGCTATACAAATATAATGATAAAAGAGACGGAAGTGAAAAAATTATGTTGAGATAACTTGTCCAATTGACCTGGATTGATTTGAATTTTTATTAGGAGTACCCAGTATCATATCGAGAGAGAATGATAATTAAGTTTTAAAAGAAAAAATTAATGATATTTAAATCCTGATAAAAAATAATTTGTAAATATTAATTTAAATAATTATAAATTTAGGAGTTTCAATGATAAATAATTATTTAAATTTTAAGTATAATTCTCAATTTTGTAATTATTCTTATTCACAATTATCTAAATCAATATTTATGATTGCTTATTTTTAAGAAAAAATTATTAAAAATTTAACTATATTAATTCCTTCTTTTAAGATTTTATTTTTATTCTAAAAAATGTGTTCACGCGGTAAAAGCTAGTCTTGAAGATTCTTTTTTTTTTTTTTTTAAAAAAAGCTAGTCTTGAAAATGATAGTACTTCATATCAGGGCTCTACAAAAACATAATTAAACTACAGAACAAAATACGTTCTTACAATGACAGGATTCGAGCTATACATTCTTTAAGAAACAGAATAAGAAGCTTATCCAAGAGAGACGAAACAAAAGGAGAACCACAATTAAGCCTCTCAAAGTTTTTGTTTAAAGTGCATGCAATGTTTGACTTAGGACTCAACTCAATTGGGGTAATGTTTGCCCATTTCGAAAGCAATTACTCATTTTCCTGAGCTAATTATTATTGCCTCTGCATCTATTATCGGAGAACCTGGACCACATAATACCCTCGATTCATCATGCTTGCCTCTTCCTCACTTCACTTCCTATATACTATTGTTCTTTTTATTTTTTTTACTAAAAATATATTATTTAAAGTTTTATCTCAATTTGTTTTAACTTTTAAATACTCCCTTCGGTCTTTATTCTAAGACATTTTCTACCACTTTGTGCATATGAAGAAATGTTAATTTTTTTTAATATCATAAAAATGAATATGTACTTTTTTTACCCTGAATTTTTAATAAAGATATAATTACATTAAATACTTTTATGTTAATCAATAGAAGATAAAATTAGAAAAAGTAATTTAAATATTATAAAATGTCCTACATTTTAGATAAAAAGTTATTTTTGAAAGGTATGCTACAAATAGAATTGATAGGAGTACGTTTTATTACTTTATATCCATAAAATATAATTTAAATATTATTATAATGATATCATTACCAAGTATTAAAGTATGCTCCGGAAAATAAATATAATTATGTAAAATTATTTACTCAGTCAATATAATTTTAATTCAATTGTAATTTAATCTTTAAATTTTAACTTGATGCAATTCAATTTCTATATTTTTAATCATTTAAAATATTAATTTTTATATTTTAAAAAATACAACACAAAGACTAAAGTTATTTTGAAACTTAAGTCTAATATTTTAAATTATTAAAATTACAAGGATCGAGTTGTAATAAGTTAAAGTTGAAAATTTGATTATAATCTAATTAAAACTATCAAGATTAAATGATTAAATTTTTCATATAATTATCTTACTTTTTGCTGCAAATGAAATCAATATAGCGTGTGTGTGTGTGTTATTTTATGGGATAAGTGCAAAATTTTAAATAAATACCTGCCAAAAAAATATGTGAAATAAAACTTGAAATCTATATGATGTTGCTTAAGATAATTATGACCCCTGATTATTAAAAAAAAAAAGGGTAGTTGTTGCCACTTTCAGGTAAATAAATAAATAAGAGAGAATGGATACAAAGGTACAGTTAAATGCTTACACCTGTCCAATACCCATACAGAGTTGGTATCATACTAATTATTTAAGGGAAAATATTATTTGCTGAGAGCCTGTGAAGTTAATATTATTTTCTTAAATCTCATTTTATTACACACAAAACAAGAAGATAATGATAATGATAATGATACAAAACCTGGAGGAGTTTCTAGAACGTTGCCTGCCTCATCAACAATTGATTCATTGACTTGACGCTAGTAAAACAAGTCAATCATTGATGCTTAGCTTGCACCATATCTATACATTAACAAACAAATAAATAAATAAATGCATATGGTTGAAATTTGATCCAAATAGTTTACAACTGTATACTAATTGTAAATTGTTATTAAAATAAATAAATAAATTTTATTAAATCTCAATTATTAAGAATGAGATGAGAGAAGAAAATCATGGAGAAAAGAGGAGAAAATTGCTGCATAGTATGAAAAAACGAGTTAACTTACTCAATTCAACTGATAAACCAATAAACAAATATTTTAATCAGTTTAATAAAATATTTTATTTAAAATTAATTTAATTACATTAGCTATTAATTTTTAAATTAATGTCTTGACCAATCTGTTTGATTTTTAGTACAAAATCTAGATCTTTGCTTTGTCCTTAATTTGCATGTTGTAAAGAGAAATTGGTTGAGCTTAAACATTAGAATGATAGTGATATATTACTTACCAGTCTGGTTTTCAGAAAATAAAAAATTCAGATCCATGCTTTGTCCTTGATCTACACATTGGAAAGAAAAATTAGTAAAGCTAAAAAAATTAGAATGATAGCGATTGTCGACTATAAAAGTGGCATAAAGATATAATGATGTTGAAGTTTGACTAAACGCTAATAAAACTTTATTTACGATAATGTCAGTCACTTTAATTAGTTAAGGGGTCCATTATTGTCTAATGAAAAAGCCACATTACATTTTCCTAAACCAATTTCTCAACTACTTCATCCTCTCTCAGAGGAAAGTTCTTGAAGAAACTAGGATTTACGGATGATACATGAAGGTGTAAATGTGGATAATTTGTTGAAGAAATCATCATCAATTGATGAAAAAAGAATTGGAAAAAAACATTTCAAGTTAGACGCTTACATATTTTATGTTAATGAAATTTATGATTTATATATGTATACCTGAATTAGTTTATTTGATTTTTAATAGATGGAATTAATTAATTTAAAGAGTTTTGGTGATTAATCAATATTTTAATCATCAACATAATAATAAAATTATAACCTATAGCAAAACCATATTATTTAGAGACGTCGAGTTAGTTGTCTTCTATGAAAATAATTGTATTTATTTCTCTTTAATAATAATAATAATAATAATAATAATAATAATCCATATGAATTAAAGGATAAAGATGTATTTTGGCTCGTAAAGTATTCTTCAAGGACTACCCAATATCCTAATCTATTAATTGAAATAATTTTGTCATTAAAATAATTAAAACAGAATATTTTTGCCCTTTCCATTAATTTCTTCAATAGTCAACATTGGAGTCTGAGATAATATTTCTAACAATTAATGTTGATAATTTGATGAAAATGATAAAAATACTCTGTTTTAATTATTTTAAAAATAAAATTACTCCAATAAATAGTTTAAAATGATGGGTGCCCCTTAAAAAATATTTTAAAAATAAAAATATACTTTATCTTAAATTAAAAAGGAAGAGACTTTAGTAGTCTCCCCCCTCTCTCTACACACACACCTTTTTTCCATTTAGTGAGTATAGTTAGGCTTCCTTGAACTACACTTTTAATAAATTAGTTAATTATTATTAAAATTATATATTTTTTTTATATTCACTCTTATCTGATATGACATCTCAATTAAAAAATATTATTAATTACATCCCTTGATGGCTTAATTAAGGATGTTTTTAGAAACAATTTATTAATTTCAACTTACAAAAAATCCAAAATGTATTATATTTTTGAACTTGATACTTTGAAAAAAAAAAACACCTTATAATACTGAGTATAGGGAGTAATTAATATACTTTTATCTAATCAAGACAAATAAATTTCAGTATGTTATGTTAATAATATTAATAACAAGAGTTTATTATAGAATAAATAACTTATAAAATATATATATATATATATATATATTTAATTTAATTGAGAAAGGTGATTTAAGTTTTTCCCAATAAAAAATTACAAACTACTTATTGGCTTACAAATTTTTGTGGGTAAATAAGTAAATTATATCTTAAATTTTATATCAAGTAGAATCATATATTTTGAATTCATTTATTATGCAAAATTGTTTCCTCAACTTTTGATAATGTTACAATTTGACTTTAACCATTAATAAAAGTTAACTTTAACTATTAATTTATCAGAAAATGATATAAAATTTTTTTAAAATTGACAAAAAATTACAATAAATGACTCAAAAATCACATATAAGGATCCAAATTTTTTTTATCATTTTCCGATCAACTAATGGTTGAAGTTAACTTTTATTAATAACAAAGGATCAAATTATACTATTTTTAAAAATTAAAAGAATAATTTATACAATAACTAAGTTGAGAGTCTACGGTGTTACCAGATTAAAAGTTTAAGGGGTAATTTATTTATTTACTCGAGTTTTTTTTTACCTTAATTGCTTACAAGTTGAGGTCTAATTACGTCTAATAATTTATTTTGTAAACTTAATTAAACCTCACAAGAGTTACGTATCAGACTCATTGTATCTCTCACATTTCGCCCCACCAAAAAAACTTTAGCTAAAAGCAAAAGTCACAGGCAATTTGCTTTGGATTCCGTTTTAAAATAAGTTGGAGGGGCTTTAAGGCAAGGAGCATATATCGGCATGAAACATGAAAGTGCCTTCTTTTGATTCGATGATTGATTTGCTTTATATCGTTTAAACAGCATGAGATTCTCCACATGGCATGCCATGTGCATGCGATTCAATCTTCTGACTGGATTATTTGGTACATTAGGAAAAAAAAAAAGTATTTTTAAGAAAATGGTGAGAAGAAGTTTTTTTTTTTTAATGATCGAAAGAAGTATTTA